AGTATCAATAAATATTCAGAACTGGGGATATATTTCTGCTGCCCAGACTTTGGAAAAATTGGAGCAATGTATTCCATTTTACATTAGGAAAGTAAAGATTGTTTTACCCACTCCAGCTTAATTAACAAATATTACAGCAAAACTGACCTTATACATGTTGTAACATTGCTGTAACACCGAGGTATAGACTTTGTCCTGTAAGAGATTCAGAATCAGAAAGACACAAAGGCTGATATTTTCACTAAGGATGCATTCAGTTACAGAGGCTTATTTTCCAAAAATAAAATAAAATAAACTTGGTAATCATTACTTTTCCAGCATATTCCCAGAGGAATGCTGTGAGAAAAAAAAAATCACTCCAAGGAATTGCTGGGAACCAGGAAAAATGCAGTAAGCTGATATGATAATAAAAAAGATAATGAATCATTGTCAGGACAACACAGCGCCTCTACGGGCTGGAGAACTGACCGCCCGCTGTGCTGTCACCTTACTTTAAAAGTGAAATTAGGGGATGGCGGTGCACTTCACAGGACAGAATTTCAGAAAGTTATTTGCAGATGTTGGGAGACAGGCAGAAAAGACATGTCTTGAAGGGTTCAAGTCATCCAAGAGAAGGAAAACGACACCTGCATTTGCTAACATTTCCAACGTGACAGTTAATTCTTACCAGTAACTCTTCTTCTTGATATTCAACATTTTTTTTGCCATCTTGGTGTTTTTCTATTACCGGATTCTGTACGACCTTGAAAAAGGAACAAAACAGTTCATTTAAGCAATTTTGTCTTGCAGGTTTTAGCTTCTGTAGAGGACAACTAGAAAACAGCAGGCAAATGATGATGAGCCGAGGGTTATTTTGATTCTGGATAAGGGTCAATGGAGTTCATTTGTGGCTGTGTAGGGATTCTAGGCTGATTCCTCTTTTGACTCTGTTCCCAGGTTTGCCACTCCTTCTCCTACAACTTCTGATCGAACTGCCACCTAGCAAGAGTTATTCCATCAGGCTTGTGAACTGTTTCATTGCACCCACCAATTCTAATAATTATAGCTTAGAAATGGGGCCCGTGTTTGATTTCTTTGCCTCTCCTATCCATCCCTTCCCCCCCCCCCCTTGGATTCTGACAGCACGGACTGTTCAATTATTCACCTCTAAACCATTCCAGAGACATTTTCAACATAAAGGGTGTAAAAAAACCCTGATGTACATTCAAGGAATTACAGTATCGTGTATTTATATACCATAACCATCCAGAAATTTTCTTCCGGTTCATTGAAGAACTGTCTGTTTTTCTGGGTATGTAGCGATTTTGCAGGCTTTGTAGGACTGAAGGTCCTAAGAAGAAGAAAAAATATTATATGAATTAACACAGTTTAAATGTTCATTTGGACCAGGGGTAACATAAAATAACCCATTATTGTTTTGATTTCCAACTGTCAACAAATAGAATAAAACTCTAAAGGAGGAAACTGTCAATCCCATTATGTTCTCAGACCTCCTTGCTTAAGTAATATATATAAACCAATAGACATGGACTTGGGAAATTTAGTTGAAACCCTAATTATCCAAGAAACTCACAGGACAATTTTAGTTCTACAATTCTTCCAGCCTCGGTTTTTCATAAGTATTTTTTTGGAAAACAAATCAGGAAAAAAGGTAGGTACATTGTCTTGGATGAAATGTGGGATCAGAAGCATCAGTAACAAGCCTCAAGAACATCAAGATGGCATGTGTTGTGTTATCATTACAGAAATGAGACAATTTAATATTTTTGGCCAAGGTTCACGCCACTGTTCCTGCCCACAACTTTCCACAAACACCAATTATGGGGGATGTTAATGTGTGAAAAAAACATTGTTAAGAATGAACAATTTCATGATCAAGTCGTGGAAGGTATAACTGAGAAAATTACAAGGTTGGATGTTCTAGTTGAGTGTTTCTCAACCTTAGTTACTTTAAAATAGATGGATTTCAACTCCCAGAATTCCTTACCTAGCTACTCTCCCCAGTGCTGACTGAGGAATTCTGGGAGTTGAAGTCCACACATCTTAAAGGTCTAATTTGATCATCCGCTGGACAGTCTTTTAAAAAAAAAATCTGGACAGAGCCAAATAAGTTTCATTTTTTACAAATATCTGAAATACTAGACATGCAGACCTAGGGATTGTGGTACCTTGTAAACTGAACAATGGCTTCACATAATCCAACATTTCTGATTTTTTCATTTTTCTCGGCTTCGTTTGGGTAATAGAAGAGGATCTTCTTTTCTTCCTGAAGTTAGAAACGAAACACCTAATTCATTATTTTAAATAGATTTCTGCAATACCTTTATAGACCTTCACAACTTACTGCATTTTACATTCACAAGTCTGTGAATAGGGCCCTTAAATGATACATTGTGCTAAAATGGTAGCGGTCTGAAATATATATATATATATTTGTGAAAAAGAAGGAATTTGCATGTACACAAAGTATACGTGTGTATGTTGTGCATGTATGCAAAATGTACATGCATGCAGCTTAATATGAATGCAAAAAGGGAAAAGGCACAGAAGTGTGGATAAAAGTGTTAAGGCATCTGGAAGGTCTTCTTTTCCAACCGCATGCTTAAGCAGGAGACCCTACACAGGTAGTCCTCGACTTACGATCACAACTGACCCCAAACTTTCTATTACTGAGACTGTTGATAAGTGAGTTTTGCCCCATTTTATGACTTTTCTTGCCATAGTTGTGAAATGAATCACTGCAGTTGTTCAGTTATTAACATGGTTGTTAAGTGACTCCGGCTTTCCCATTGGCTCTGCAAAGGGGATCACATGTCCCTGAGACACTGAAACTGTCACAAATATGAGTCAGTTGCTAAGAATCTGAATTTTGATCCCGTGACCCTGGGGATGTTGCAACAGTCATAAGCTTGAAAAACAGTCATAGGTGACTTTTTTTTAGTGCTGTTGTAACTTCGAACGGTCACTAAGTGAATTGTTGTAAGTCGAAGACTATCTGCATCAGGAGTTTGGATATATACACAACATATTAATATATTAACATGTATGCATGCATACATACATACATATATATTATGGAGCAGCCATAACTTCCTTTACCAATTATAATTATAGAAACACTCCCACAAACCAGGCCCATCTCTCCAGTTATTACACACACACACACTCCAAGCCCCCCAGTTGTGACATTCCCACACAACCAGCTCCCCCATGTCTCTCCAGTTTCTTATTAGACACACACACACACACTCAAAGCCCCCCCCAGTTGTGACACTCCCATAATCAGCCCCCCATGTGTCTCTCCAGTTATTACACACACAGAGACACACACACTCCAAGCCCCCCCCCCCAGTTGTGACACTCCCACACAACCAGCTCCATCTATCTCTCTCCAGTTTGTTATTACAGACACACACACAAACACACACTCCAAGCCCCCCAATTGTGCATCCCCCCCACCGGGCTCCCTCCCTTCCTCCTCCCGGCTGGGCCTCGATCTGTCCGGAGAGAAGGGCCGCCGCTCCCCCTCCGCCAGAGCCGCCTCCGAGGCAGGCCCGGCCGGCCCTCCGCCTCCCCGCCCCGGTCGGAGGGTCCCGCTCTCTCTTCGCCCGCCCACCTCGCCCTCTCGCGGGCCCAGCCGCGGGTTGTACACGAAGAAGCCGACCAGGGCCGGCGCCAGCAGCTTCTCCGGCCCGGCCCCCGACTCCGCTGCCGCCATCCTGCCGGGGGGCGGAGCGGAGCAGCCTCGGGAACGGCAGGGGGCAGCCGCCGAGTGGCCGCCGCCTCCTCCTCCTCCTCCTCCTCCTGGTCCGCCTCCGGCCGCGGCCTGTACGCCGCCCCGAGCCCCGGCCTCGCCTGGCCCGCTTTGCCGCTCTGCGCGCGCGCCCAGCTGGCTGGCTGGCTGGCGGGCTGAGAGGGTAGCGGCCGCAGCAGGCAGGCCGAACCCGGACCGAGCGAGCGAGCGAGCGAGGGGAACCGGCAGGATGCAGTTGCCGCGGGACTGCTCTGGCCGGGGAAGGGAAGGGAAGGGCATGGAAGGCCCGCGCCGCCCAGTCCTGGCCTGTCTTTGCAATCACGGGTTGTTGTGGGTTGTTTTTTTTTAAATAAAGTTTATTAAAAGTTTTAAAGCGGAGATAAAAACTAAGGGGAAGGAAGGAAGGAAAAAAGGAAAAATTCTGAGTGAATGGGAAGGAAGGAAGGAAGGAAGTATTGTGAGAAAGAAGTTCCAATTTCTTCTGCAGCGAATACGATTGCAGAATTTATGGAATTATTTTAAAAGCTCAGTTTTTATCTTTACTATTTTTATCTTTATTCAGAAAGTCACAACTCATAACTGCACTTTTTTTCCCCATTTCATGCAGAAAGTTTGTAAGGGGTTCCGGCCATCCATGCATCCATCAATCAATTCTTTTGTATAATCAAGGAAGTTAATTTAATCGTCTTTGCAATAATAGGGGATAACGATGTGCTATGAACTATGGCTTCTGCCTCTTAGGTTCAACCACCAACTAGCAGAGATCCAGCTGTCAAAAGCATTGTTCCATTTGTTTACTATCTTTATTTTCACTTTCATTTTGTGTTGTGACGGACTTCAATAAAGTTTCAATAAAAAGCAGATTTTTTTAAAAAAAAAACGGAGTCGAGGAAAGTGGAATTCAAACCCTTTTATTTCTGCGCAGAAGCAAATTGGTGTCAAATTCAGCGAAAGGCAGCTTTATATCATTATACTGTTTGCATAAGAAGACAAAAGTTAACAGTTCCATTCATTGGTTATTTACCACTTCCAGGTTTTGCTTACTGTGTGCAATGCACTCACATGGACAATAATCCTCAACGACCATAACTGAGCCCAAAATTTCCGTTGCTAAGCAAGGCAGTTGTTAAGGGAGTTTGGCCCCATTTTGCGATCTTTCTTCCCACAGTTGTTAAATGAATCACAGCAGTTGTGAAGTTTGTAACAGCTGTTAAGTAAATCTGGCTTCCCCATTGACTTTGCTCGTCAGACAGTCGCAAAAGGGGATTACATGATCCTGGGACACAGCAACGGTCGTAACTATGAAGCGGTTGCCTAGCATCTGAATTTTGATTACATGACCATGGGGATGCTGCAGTGGTCATAAGTGGGAAGGGGAGCATGGTGGGTGGGGGAGGCCTTGGGAAGACCAGGGCCTATGCTTGGCCCCCAAGAGCCTCCCCAATCCTGAAGCATCCCATGCTCCGCTTAATGACCCTTGTGTTTGTTTAATGATTCATTGGGGAGAGCAGGGATATGGGGTCAGCTTCATCTACTGACTGTCACAATCGTAATGGGAAGGCTCCATTATGGCCGTATCTCTAGGACTACCTGTAGTAGCATACCACTGAATAGGAGGCAAATTATAAGAAAGGATCCTTGGGTTTGAAAGTTTCAAGAGAACTCTTTCTGGACAGAAGTTCTTCCATCACGCAAGCCGCTTCTGGTCCTTTAGGATTGTACCATCTCCTGGAATTCTGCAATAAAAGGAGAAGCAGTTGGAAGATTTTGAGTGGACTTCTCTACATTTCTTAAGCTAGAAGAGTTATCCTACCAAAACTGAACTTTCATATCCAGAAGGGGTTCTAAACTCCTGATGGAGACTATTGTTTGTATTTTAATATTTGGAATAAAATAAAAAAACAGACTATTTTTTTAAAAAAGTAAAAATGAGACTATTGTTGACTTTGTTAGACTTTTTCATTGACTGTTGATGAAAATGGATTACTGAGGAATCTTCTTCACCAAGGGCAGAATTTTAATTTGAATTCTCTCTCCCTTTTTCTTCTCTCTGCCTCCTACATAAGCCTTCTCCGGTGAAGCTCATGGACAAAACTAAGACATGCCCAGGGACGCTCTGGAAGAACTCTTTCCACACCTTAGTTTATAATCAGGAATGGGCCATCTTAAACCATTTACTCAGTTCACATTCTGAAACCAGAGTTTGGCTAGCAGCTCCTCCACAGATAGTGCCTGGAGCAATAACCCCATTCCTCCCTCAAAAAGACCCATCTGTTAATTGCATTGCTATCTTCAAGAGGGATTGCAGGACCAAACAAATCCGAGTTAACCAACTCATACCTTCAGCCCCAACTTTTCCATCTCCATCGTGGTCTCCCGTCGCCAGAAATTTTTCGATTTCTGTTGGTGTTAACAAGCGAGCCCCGGGCTCAAACCTCTGGAGGAAGTAACTAGAGAGAGGAGAATAAAAGCAATTTTGTGTGGTGATATTTTTTTGAGCTGAGTTGATAAGTTAGGGATGCCACACAAAACCCTAGGTAAGTGTTTCTCACTCTTGTCAACTTTAAGCTATGTGGACTTCAAATCCCAGAATTCCAGGCTGGCTGGGGAATTCTGGGAGTTGAAGTCCACACAGCTTAACGTGGCTGAGGTTGAGAAACATTGCCCTAGGACTAGGTCATTTGGCATTTTGTCTTTTTACTTTGGTTTCCACTAACTCTTTTAACAATTTCATATTTTGAAATCTCTTGCTATATGATCAGAGACGTTAGCATATCCTGTGAGTGGAACCAGCAGTTCAAAGAAATATTCTTACAAGCATAAAAAGGATTTGAATTCAAAGACGTTTGCCTTTACACTGAAAGTTTTCTCATTGTGTAGGTGTAATTTTAAATGAGAAAGCAGAGACCTGCAGTACCATTTTAGACAAGCCTGTCGGGAAGGAAAGTCCACAGACTTTACTTGGGCTCCCCATGTAAATGCAACCAGGATTGTACCTACAGTACTCAGAATATATTTTAAAAAAGAGAGAGAGAACAAAATTGTGGAGCATTCTTACGGGAGCTCTTCTTCTTCAATAAATCCACTTTTATCACGATCTAGAATTTGAAATATACCCTTGATTTGGTTGCTGCTCTTTTTGGACATACCAGAAAGCTGGAAGAATTTTCTGCAGTTGAAACTACCTGGAGCTAGGAAGAAAAAAACAAAAAGGACTATTGTAAGCTAGAACGTTGGAGAAAAGATGGTTAACTTATCCTCTTCCTCCTCCTTTCCGCCATCCTGGTTTTATACCTAGAAAGACAGAATAACAGAGTTGGAAGGGACCTTAGAGGTCATCTAGTTCAACCCCCTGTTCAAGCAAGAGATCCTACACCATTTCAGACAGGTGGCTGTCCAGTCTCTTCTTTAAAAACTTCCCGTGTTGGAGCACCCACAACTTGCAAAGAGAAGCTGTTCCACTGATTAATTGTCCTCACTGTCAGGAATTTATCCTGAGTTCTAAGTTGCTTCTGTCCTTGATTTATTTCCATCCGTTGGGTCTTCTTCTGCCTTCAGGTGCTTTGGAAAACCCTCTTCTTTGTGGCAGCCCCCCAAATATTGGAACATTGCTATTATGTCATCCCTTCTTTTCATTAAACAATTCCTGCAACTGTTCTTCATATGTTTTCACCTCCAGTTCCCTAATCATCTTTGTAGCTGTTGCTTGGTTGTATACATCCTACTACTAAAGATGCTCAATTTATAAAACCTCTGTGTGCAAGACTAGTAGACTTTGTTTGCACAGACACACTTCTGCCAACATGCTAAACCCAATTCCCTCAACAACAGCCACAAAAAATCCAAAACACAGAATGACAATTTTAAAAGGAAAGTCCAGTCTAGGGGGAAAAACCCATATTTGGACGTCAACAGGTCAGTAGAAGCCTACAGTCTTCAACTCATATTAAGAATCAAAATGATTAGTTAACACATCCGGTTTGTTTGCCAGATAACCATCCTAGATTAATGTTTGTCCAAAAATATCTCTTGAATTGAGATGTTTCTAGTACATCTCAATCCAAGAGATATTTTTGGACAAACATTAATAAGAGGACACCCTCATCCACATTTAAGACACATTTAAAGTGCCAAACACTTTCTAAATTGCTAGCCTAATAAATGCTTCGTTGTCACACCCGTCCCGTTTTGGGGAACTAGTTTCAACTAAATTCAGTTGTTTGTAAATTTCTCCATCAAAGACTCACAAAAATGGGTTGCATCTGAGCTTTTGGTCTGATCTAGTAAAGCCACACTTAATTTATTTACCCCAATATCATCTTACCTTGACAATCCTGGACTGCGGCAGCAATATCCGAAGGATTAAGGAAATCACTCATGCTCATCTTGGATTTTGCCAAAGGAAGATATAGCAAAGAAGTATTAAAAGGAAACAAAATACAGTATTTTCACTCAAGCGGTACGAGAGAAATAAGAAGAATAATCAGAAGAAATAGCCTCTTACAAATTGCTTTACAAATGTCTACATAACCAGTATAATCATTCATCAATCACTCTTGTTTTTAATCCATCATATTGAAAGTCCTTCCTTCCTTCCTTCCTTCCTTCCTTCCTTCCTTCCTTCCTTCCTTCCTTCCTTCCTTCCTAGTATCAGATTAAGAACCAGAATTTTTCAGTTTTGTCGTTTATCCAAGTTGTTAAGTCCCCAGCGAAATGGCAAATAACGCAAGAAGCAGTCGCAGTTCTCAGGAGCCTCTTTATTAGTGTACATCATACTGGTTACAAGACGCCGACAACGCCCAAATCCCTCTGCTCCTTTTTAAAGGCAATCCCCGGGGCAAACGGCAACATTTGGCATGCTTGCACTTCGCGCATGCACGCGAGTGCTGGCGACAGCCAGTCTGGTTCCGGGCAGCTTGCACCTGCCCGGGACTGTTGCAACATCCCGAGCTTGCCTTCACAGGCTCAGGATATAACACCCCTTCCCCCCCCGGCTAAGACCATAACCACATAAATAATAATGTGCTACCTCAACACGAGTGTGAGACCTAAACTGTCTTCTCTCACTTGATTGACCTTAAGATAGTTTTCTACTCTGGCCACGTAAGACTCCCATCTTTCCGGATGTGTGACATCGGGTTGTACACGAAGAAGCCGACCAGGGCCGGCGCCAGCAGCTTCTCCGGCCCGGCCCCCGACTCCGCTGCCGCCATCCTGCCGGGGGGGTGGAGCGGAGCAGCCTCAGGAACGGCAGGGGGCAGCCGCCGAGTGGCCGCCGCCGCGGCCTCCTCCTCCTGGTCCGCCTCCGGCCGCGGCCTATACGCCGCCCCGAGCCCCGGCCTCGCCTGGCCCGCTTTGCCGCTCTGCGCGCGCGCCCAGCTGGCTGGCTGGCGGGCGGGCTGAGAGGGTAGCGGCCGCAGCAGGCAGGCCGAACCCGGACCGAGCGAGCGAGGGGAACCGGGAGGATGCAGTTGCCGCGGGACTGCTCTGGCTGGGGAAGGGAAGGGCAGGGAAGGCCCGCGCCGCCCAGTCCTGGCCTGTCTTTGCAATCACGGGTTGTTGTGGGTTGTTTTTTTTTTAAAATAAAGTTTATTAAAAGTTTTAAAGCGGAGATAAAAACTAAGGGGAAGGAAGGAAGGAAAAAAGGAAAAATTCTGAGTGAATGGGAAGGAAGGAAGGAAGGAAGGAAGTATTGTGAGAAAGAAGAGAAGTTCCCATTTCTTCTGCAGCGAATACGATTGCAGAATTTATGGAATTATTTTAAAAGCTCAGTTTTTATCTTTACTATTTTTATCTTTATTCAGAAAGTCACAACTCATAACTGCACTTTTTTTCCCCATTTCATGCAGAAAGTTTGTAAGGGGTTCCGGCCATCCATGCATCCATCAATCAATTCTTTTGTATAATCAAGGAAGTTAATTTAATCGTCTTTGCAATAATAGGGGATAACGATGTGCTATGAACTATGGCTTCTGCCTCTTAGGTTCAACCACCAACTAGCAGAGATCCAGCTGTCAAAAGCATTGTTCCATTTGTTTACTATCTTTATTTTCACTTTCATTTTGTGTTGTGACGGACTTCAATAAAGTTTCAATAAAAAGCAGATTTTTTAAAAAAAAAACGGAGTCGAGGAAAGTGGAATTCAAACCCTTTTATTTCTGCGCAGAAGCAAATTGGTGTCAAATTCAGCGAAAGGCAGCTTTATATCATTATACTGTTTGCATAAGAAGACAAAAGTTAACAGTTCCATTCATTGGTTATTTACCACTTCCAGGTTTTGCTTACTGTGTGCAATGCACTCACATGGACAATAATCCTCAACGACCATAACTGAGCCCAAAATTTCCGTTGCTAAGCAAGGCAGTTGTTAAGGGAGTTTGGCCCCATTTTGCGATCTTTCTTCCCACAGTTGTTAAATGAATCACAGCAGTTGTGAAGTTTGTAACAGCTGTTAAGTGAATCTGGCTTCCCCATTGACTTTGCTCGTCAGACAGTCGCAAAAGGGGATTACATGATCCTGGGACACAGCAACGGTCGTAACTATGAAGCGGTTGCCTAGCATCTGAATTTTGATTACATGACCATGGGGATGCTGCAGTGGTCATAAGTGGGAAGGGGAGCATGGTGGGTGGGGGAGGCCTTGGGAAGACCAGGGCCTATGCTTGGCCCCCAAGAGCCTCCCCAATCCTGAAGCATCCCATGCTCCGCTTAATGACCCTTGTGTTTGTTTAATGATTCATTGGGGAGAGCAGGGATATGGGGTCAGCTTCATCTACTGACTGTCACAATCGTAATGGGAAGGCTCCATTATGGCCGTATCTCTAGGACTACCTGTAGTAGCATACCACTGACTAGGAGGCAAATTATAAGAAAGGATCCTTGGGTTTGAAAGTTTCAAGAGAACTCTTTCTGGACAGAAGTTCTTCCATCACGCAAGCCGCTTCTGGTCCTTTAGGATTGTACCATCTCCTGGAATTCTGCAATAAAAGGAGAAGCAGTTGGAAGATTTTGAGTGGACTTCTCTACATTTCTTAAGCTAGAAGAGTTATCCTACCAAAACTGAACTTTCATATCCAGAAGGGGTTCTAAACTCCTGATGGAGACTATTGTTTGTATTTTAATATTTGGAATAAAATAAAAAAACAGACTATTTTTTTAAAAAAGTAAAAATGAGACTATTGTTGACTTTGTTAGACTTTTTCATTGACTGTTGATGAAAATGGATTACTGAGGAATCTTCTTCACCAAGGGCAGAATTTTAATTTGAATTCTCTCTCCCTTTTTCTTCTCTCTGCCTCCTACATAAGCCTTCTCCGGTGAAGCTCATGGACAAAACTAAGACATGCCCAGGGACGCTCTGGAAGAACTCTTTCCACACCTTAGTTTATAATCAGGAATGGGCCATCTTAAACCATTTACTCAGTTCACATTCTGAAACCAGAGTTTGGCTAGCAGCTCCTCCACAGATAGTGCCTGGAGCAATGACCCCATTCCTCCCTCAAAAAGACCCATCTGTTAATTGCATTGCTATCTTCAAGAGGGATTGCAGGACCAAACAAATCCGAGTTAACCAACTCATACCTTCAGCCCCAACTTTTCCATCTCCATCGTGGTCTCCCGTCGCCAGAAATTTTTCGATTTCTGTTGGTGTTAACAAGCGAGCCCCGGGCTCAAACCTCTGGAGGAAGTAACTAGAGAGAGGAGAATAAAAGCAATTTTGTGTGGTGATATTTTTTTGAGCTGAGTTGATAAGTTAGGGATGCCACACAAAACCCTAGGTAAGTGTTTCTCACTCTTGTCAACTTTAAGCTATGTGGACTTCAAATCCCAGAATTCCAGGCTGGCTGGGGAATTCTGGGAGTTGAAGTCCACACAGCTTAACGTGGCTGAGGTTGAGAAACATTGCCCTAGGACTAGGTCATTTGGCATTTTGTCTTTTTACTTTGGTTTCCACTAACTCTTTTAACAATTTCATATTTTGAAATCTCTTGCTATATGATCAGAGACGTTAGCATATCCTGTGGGTGGAACCAGCAGTTCAAAGAAATATTCTTACAAGCATAAAAAGGATTTGAATTCAAAGACGTTTGCCTTTACACTGAAAGTTTTCTCATTGTGTAGGTGCAATTTTAAATGAGAAAGCAGAGACCTGCAGTACCATTTTAGACAAGCCTGTCGGGAAGGAAAGTCCACAGACTTTACTTGGGCTCCCCATGTAAATGCAACCAGGATTGTACCTACAGTACTCAGAATATATTTTAAAAAAGAGAGAGAGAACAAAATTGTGGAGCATTCTTACGGGAGCTCTTCTTCTTCAATAAATCCACTTTTATCACGATCTAGAATTTGAAATATACCCTTGATTTGGTTGCTGCTCTTTTTGGACATACCAGAAAGCTGGAAGAATTTTCTGCAGTTGAAACTACCTGGAGCTAGGAAGAAAAGAACAAAAAGGACTATTGTAAGCTAGAACGTTGGAGAAAAGATGGTTAACTTATCCTCTTCCTCCTCCTTTCCGCCATCCTGGTTTTATACCTAGAAAGACAGAATAACAGAGTTGGAAGGGACCTTAGAGGTCATCTAGTTCAACCCCCTGTTCAAGCAAGAGATCCTACACCATTTCAGACAGGTGGCTGTCCAGTCTCTTCTTTAAAAACTTCCCGTGTTGGAGCACCCACAACTTGCAAAGAGAAGCTGTTCCACTGATTAATTGTCCTCACTGTCAGGAATTTATCCTGAGTTCTAAGTTGCTTCTGTCCTTGATTTATTTCCATCCGTTGGGTCTTCTTCTGCCTTCAGGTGCTTTGGAAAACCCTCTTCTTTGTGGCAGCCCCCCAAATATTGGAACATTGCTATTATGTCATCCCTTCTTTTCATTAAACAATTCCTGCAACTGTTCTTCATATGTTTTCACCTCCAGTTCCCTAATCATCTTTGTAGCTGTTGCTTGGTTGTATACATCCTACTACTAAAGATGCTCAGTTTATAAAACCTCTGTGTGCAAGACTAGTAGACTTTGTTTGCACAGACACACTTCTGCCAACATGCTAAACCCAATTCCCTCAACAACAGCCACAAAAAATCCAAAACACAGAATGACAATTTTAAAAGGAAAGTCCAGTCTAGGGGGAAAAACCCATATTTGGACGTCAACAGGTCAGTAGAAGCCTACAGTCTTCAACTCATATTAAGAATCAAAATGATTAGTTAACACATCCGGTTTGTTTGCCAGATAACCATCCTAGATTAATGTTTGTCCAAAAATATCTCTTGAATTGAGATGTTTCTAGTACATCTCAATCCAAGAGATATTTTTGGACAAACATTAATAAGAGGACACCCTCATCCACATTTAAGACACATTTAAGGTGCCAAACACTTTCTAAATTGCTAGCCTAATAAATGCTTCGTTGTCACACCCGTCCCGTTTTGGGGAACTAGTTTCAACTAAATTCAGTTGTTTGTAAATTTCTCCATCAAAGACTCACAAAAATGGGTTGCATCTGAGCTTTTGGTCTGATCTAGTAAAGCCACACTTAATTTATTTACCCCAATATCATCTTACCTTGACAATCCTGGACTGCGGCAGCAATATCCGAAGGATTAAGGAAATCACTCATGCTCATCTTGGATTTTGCCAAAGGAAGATATAGCAAAGAAGTATTAAAAGGAAACAAAATACAGTATTTTCACTTAAGCGGTACGAGAGAAATAAGAAGAATAATCAGAAGAAATAGCCTCTTACAAATTGCTTTACAAATGTCTACATAACCAGTATAATCATTCATCAATCACTCTTGTTTTTAATCCATCATATTGAAATAGTCCTTCCTTCCTTCCTTCCTTCCTTCCTTCCTTCCTTCCTTCCTTCCTAGTATCAGATTAAGAACCAGAATTTTTCAGCTTTGTCGTTTATCCAAGTCACAACCATTTTATCACAATTTAAAGTGGAGATGCTTCTGCCCTTTGGTTTTTTGTTTTTTTTTGTAGGTGTCACCTTTTTACACAGTTCCTCAAAGGCAAATTACAAAGTCCATTTCACAGGGGCAGGTCTCTACTTTCTACTTACTTTCCCCTGTACGGATTCACAGAGCAGGGATGACGGACCCCCGAAGCGCAAATAATTTCTAGCAAGGCAGCACCTTTGGCAAACGACTCCCTATCTAATTTATATAAGACTCCCTATCTAATTTATATAAGGTACTTGAATTACCTTTTCGAGGATTAGGTGCTCCATTTGAGACTGTGCTCAGGTGTCACGTTTAACTAATGAACTGGGTTTTGTCTTCCCTCATCTATTTATACTCAAGGAGAATAGGATGGGGAAAACGGTAGAGACTCCACATATAATAACACAGAAAGAGAATGAGAATTTTCTTTCTGTGTTGTTAGATGTTGGTGGTTATGCTAAGCATCGAGGCCCACTAAAACTAGATGGGTCTGGAAAAGAGAGATTAGTGCCCAACACTTTGAACATGGAAGGATCAGTGTGGACATCTCCAAAGAGGTTTGGAAATAGCGGAATCAGAAATTCTGCGTAGCTCTTGTCAAGCTGGCATCATCTGGGGAATGAAGTCCTCAACTGAAGGAAGGAAGGAAGGAAGGAAAGAAGGAAGGAAGGAAGGAAAGAAGGAAGGAAGGAAGGAAGGAAGGAAGGAAGGAAGGAAGGAAGGAAGGAAGGAAGGAAGGAAGGAATCTAGTTATATTTATTGAAGGACATAGGAAGGGAAGGACGAAGGGAGGACAGAAGGTTGACATCCAGCTATATGTATTCCAAGAACCAAGGAAATAAGGGAGGAAGGAAGGAAGGAAGGAAGGAAGGAAGGAAGGAAGGAAGGAAGGAAGGAAGGGAGGGAGGGAGGGAGGAAGAGAGGGGGGCAGATTATGGGGAGGTCACGCTGGAGTTATTACTGCCAGATTTCAAGGATTGATGCTACACCCACAAAGGGCCCACTCTGTAGGGCTCCCTCCAGCACTGACATTCTGTAGATTATCCTCAAAGCAAGACAAATTCATATGAGCAGCTTTTTTGAGGAGGGGACCTTAATGATCGAGGCTGCTCTTGGTTTCAGGATGGGACTCGTTCACCATCTTATGGAACGGTCTGCAGTAGACTTTTGAAAGTAAGTTTTCTTACTTTCTTCAGAAAGTTTTCAACAGAAAGGATGACAAATGCTCTCCTTCCCTCTCTCCCCCCAATAAACAAATAACATTTTGAGAGAATGCAAAGAATGGCTGTAAAAATGAGTTCGATAACCCCCCCCAATATATCCGTCTTAAGCCTTTCCATTTTTGGTCAGATTCTACATTGATAACACTAGAGATCTTACCCCGATTAGCTTGGATTCTGGCCGTGAAGGGAGAAGCTGCAATGTTACCTACCATGTGGGCGTCTTTTAGAACGTGCATGCATATAGTGCAGGAGGTCCTTTTGTCTTGTTGTAGGTTTGACTGACACATGTCCTTCACAAAGTCCGTGCAGAGATAACGAGGAAGGACACACCATCACGATAGCTGTAGAAGTGTGATTCTCTCCTGGAGGTCCTTATCTTATCTTCAGAAGCACATGAGACCTCTAAACCTAGACAATTGTTTCTTCAAAGCAATGTTGGTGTCTCGGCCCTGCCTGGTGCTACCAGGAGGGCTTATGAGTTGCCTCCTTGCAATGCATGTTGCTTGGTTCAAGGAAGCTGAGGGCTCCTTCTGAGCTTGGTTGTTTTCTTGCAGATGTTTCATTACCAAGCTAGGGAACACCCTCACAAGCACTGATAATATTCGTTTGGGTAATGAAATGTCTGCAAAAAAACAACCCAGCTCAGAGAGCATCAAGGACCAGACAATGCTCCTCCTTGTCCTCCTCCACCTCCTCCTCATCCTCTTCTTCTCCACAAACCCCTCTCCCTTCTAGCACTGATGATGTTAGCTAGATGGGTAATGAAATGTCTGCAAGAAAACAACCCAGCACAGAGAGCATCAAGGACCATACAGTCCTTCTCCTCTTCCTCTTCCTTCCCCTTCCCCTTCCCCTTCCCCTTCCCCTCCCCCTCCTCCCCTTCTTCTCCACTCCACAAAACCCACTCCATTCTAGCACTGATTATATTACCTAGTTGGGTAATGAAACATGTACAAGAAAACAACCAAGCTCAGAGCTACTGTATATAAACAGGAACAAGTCACACTCACTAGCACTGATTGTATTACCTAACTGGGTAATGAAACGTCTGCAAGAAAACCACCAAGCTCAGAGAGCACCAAGGACCTCTCATTTCAACCATGAGCTACAAATTGTAGTTGAATTGTCTTTTTCCGATTTATCTCTTGACATCTGGAAAGAAAAATGGTGTCAATCAATGGGTGTGACACTAGTTGGGCTCCTCCTCTGACTGGGGTGTGTATTTTTCCCTCTGGAGGAATGCTTCTCTTATCAATGTTCAGATAGATTTTTACTTATGATGGGCCAGAAAAGCCTCAAAGCAGAGATACAGAAATCAGGGACTTCCAACTATGAAATAACCTTTTGCCCAATCTTGTCCTTTAGCAATGACTTGAAAAGAATGAAAGGGTTCAAGAGAACTGACGTAGTAAGGGGCCAAGAAAATCAAGAAAGTAAGTGAAACGAGTCTGTCTAAATCTCCTGGTTAAGGCGCCAGGCTAGAAAGCAGGAGACGGTGAGTTCTAATCCCGCCTTAGACATGTAAGCTGGCTAAATGACTTTGGACCAATCACTAGGAGACGGTGAGTTCTAGTCCTTCCTTAATCATGAAAGCTGACTGGGTAACTTTGGACCAATCACTAGGGGATGATGAGTTCTAGTTCCGCCTTAGACATGAAAGCCCAGTGGGTGTCTTTGGGCCAATCATTTTCTCTTAGCCCAACCCACTTCACAGAGTTGTTGTTGTGGGCAAAATAGGAGGAGGAAAGTGTGTGTTGGATTGGTTTGCTACCTTGAGTTATTTGCAAAAACACTCATGGCAGGATATAAACAAACCAACGCAGAGAAGATTGGATGAAACCTCATCCCAGAGTTTCGCATGATGCTAATCTATCCAAAAGGTTGATCTCCCGAGTGAAACCGAATTGCATTTCAGAACGAAGGAGATCCCTGTGTGCAGGTGACAATCTTTAGTTACCGGTGCTTCTTTATTCATTGATGGTGACTTTCATCTCAAGCACTGCTTTCTGTCGGCCTTAATTAGAATAATGACATCATTGGGGTCAACTGCATTAATAAGAGGGCAGTTTAATTACCTCTCTCCACAAATGGACCCTGGAATAACAGAATAACCGAAGAGTTGGAAGGGATCTTGGAGGTCTTCTAGTCCAACCCCCTGCTCATGGCAGGAGATCCTATATCATTCCGGACAAATGATTGTCCAGTCTCTTCTTAAAAATCTCCAATGATGAAGCACCCACAACCTCTGGAGACTCACTCTGGGTGTCCTTCTTTGGCAGTTTGAAACCAATCGTAGATCAGCTTTTCTGCTCTAGCTGTCCGCTTGACATTCCCCACCTAGATGACTGTTAAAACAGATCATCTAGAGTCACCACGGTGACTCCGTAACCTTATCTCACGGCTGAGTTGTCGGTGATATTGTCAGGAGAGCCATCCTTAAATTGTTCAATTATTTAGGTTTTCTTCCGTTCCCTCCACAGTAGGATGCTCCTAGTGATTAACTGTCTAGAAAACGACTCTTAAGAATGGGTGAGTGTTCAGTATTCAGCGGTGTACAATTGACACATCTAACACGCTGTTTGGCCACGGGCTTACAATAATCGTCACCGCACAGATTAGGAAGAATCGAGTTGGTGGCAGTGTTGAAAGGAAGAGTTGCCTAGAGCAGCCGGAGAGGCAGAAATAGTCCTTGGTTATGGGATAAGCCTTTGACTCTTGGCCAAATTAGAGGCATGGATGAGATGACGTTTTTGGAAAAAAGAGGAGACACCTTCTTGAAGAACAGAGTCAACCAATGGGCCCCAGCCTTGACGATTGAAAGAACCTATTTGCAAAATACGAAGAGGGAGCCCTCAAAGGGGTGTCTAGGATCGACCTGTTTTTATCGTTGGAAAAATCTAGATACCCAGTATTGGAAGTAAATGAACAGTGTGTGTTTTCCATCTGACAGATCGTGCAGGCGTCTCCTGTAATGGTCATCATCTCCCTGTCCCATCTGTCTTAGGGGTGGTTTTTTTTTTTAAGCTTTTAATAAAGCAATGTGCAATGGGAAATAGGTGAATTGCAAAGTGAACCTCACTTTCCAGCATTCCCCACTGTTTCCAAGAATGCTTCGTGAAGACCACTTAAGCATTTTTAGCAATTGAAGCTGCTGGATAGCTACAGGCCAATAGCCATAGCAAGAGCACTTAGACTTGTATACCGCTTCACAGTGCTTTACATCCCCCTCTAAGCAGTTTACAGAGTCAGCCTATGGCTCCCAGCAATCTGGGTCCTCATTTGACCAAACTCAGAAGGATGGAAGGCTGAGTCAACTTTGAGCTGGTCAGGATCGAACTCCTGGCAGTGGGCAGAGTCAGCTTGCAATATTGCATTCAAACCATGGAGCCACCAGGGTCCTTCAATGAGTTTCTTTTGGAGATGATCCACTCAGGATGGACTTCCTTCTGGGTCTGAGAACTAGCAGTTGGGACGAAAGTGATTACCCAACATTGCTAGCTTATACGGGCAACTCAGCTGGTATTTGAACTCAGCCATCAAATCTGATGCTTAAGGATCAGAGGCCAAAAGCTATGTAAGCCATCAATATCTACTCTCATTTTTTCTCCCTTTTTCCTTGTTTATTTTATTGTTCCATCACTTGACTCCTGTTATGTTTACACTTCTTTTTTCATTTTTCCGTTTTTATTTGCCTAGAATAGCCGGCAAAGAACTTTAACAAAATGACAAATAATCATTTTGCTACAAGGAGGGGTGCCTAGGTTGTGTGGTTTTCCAATTTTTTTTTCTAAAAGGAGAAGAGAACATTTATTTTGCTTTTTTTTTTTAAAAAAAAAAATAACGTTATGTCATTTCTATGCCTAAGACTTGGACAATGCGTATTGTCCAAGTCTTGATTTTTTGGCGTATCTGGGCTTTGTGCTGTCATTGGCGCAACCTCTGAATTGCAGCACTTAAAGCGAGACTTTGAATCATGTACACTTTCCTGCAATGAATCAATCAGTCCCTGCCCAATGCATGTTGATGTGACCCCTAACTTAGGCCAGGCTTTAGCTACAGATGTTCTCAGCTTCCGTTTCCTTCCTGATTTATGATCTGGCACAGTCCTCAAACCCAACCCAGCAATGATATGTTTAAAACTCTGAATGAATTTGAAGCCAGCCTCTCTCTCTAGATTATGGCATGCTCACTCCTCATTTCAACCAGCCTTTTTCAACCTTGGCAACGATGGGTGGACTTCAATTCCCACCGTTCCCAAGCCGGCATGCTGGCCTGGGGAATTCTGGGACTTGAAGTCCCCACATCTTCCACATTGCCAAGGTTGAGAATGACGGATTTCAACCAAGCAAGGACAGGAACGTCACCGTGGCAATTGCATCGGGCAAAGAAACAGGCTCAAAAAATCTGTGAATGATGAAGACGCTTTATATGGATGAATGGACAATTCCACGGGTATGGCTAGTAAGAGGGTTCGTGAACCTGATTAGGTAAGACAAAGACCAGTTTAAACCTTCTTATTGAACTGTTTTTTCCCAATATCATGTCATATACTCGGGAAGGAAGGCGGACGCTCGTGTAACTCTTGGTGCAATCTTTTAAAAAGCCCGCCTCACCGAGTCATCTTAACAGACTGTGCGGACAAAAAGAAATATCCAATGTTTTTTTCTCCCTTGGGCTCCGATTTTGTCCTTCTTTTGATGTAGAGAGCCCTTTTAATTATGAATTTTACAACAATAGACAATAATAAAGGTCAAACAGTGCATTGGGAGTTAACACAGTTCCCGAATAATAAGAAACAAGATGCTGGCCATTGTCACTGCCGTTTCGCTGTATAAAATGTATAAATAAATAGTTGACTTGCAATAAGAAAGGATGTTGTACAATACAATTGGCTTGGTCTTCCCTTGAATCACTTTAACCCTTTGTAACCAGGACTACAAACTCTGGAAAAGAAAAGAAAAAGGGAAAAAATGAGGAAGGGGAGGAAAGGAAAGGGAAGAGAAGGGAAGGGAAGGGAAGGGAAGAAAGGAAAAGAAAGGAAAAGAAGGGAAGCGAAGGGAAAGAAAAGGAAGGGAAGGGAAGGAAAGGTTATATTATTTTGAATCTTGTCTCCTCAAATCCATAGATAATGGGTTCCTAGATTATCTTGGATAGCAGATGCTAAAGACAACAGAGTTTCCATCCATTTCAAGTTACTGACTTGTTTTATTTATTAATGTATATCAATTTATTATATAGCCTTAGGAATTCATTTCTTGGATTGTCTCGGTATCAAGATGGCAGATGTAATGCTTATCTCACTACATCCTCACGGCAACAACCCTTATCCCTGCTCCATCGGTCCTTTAGTCCCATCGTTTTAAAATTTTAAATAGCCTAATTTTAATATTTTAATTATTGATCTCTCGGTCTTTTTTATAATCTGTAAGCCACCCAGACAGCCGCCTCACCAGGGAGATGGGTGGCATGAAACTTTAAATAAATAAATAAAATAAAAATATCCAGCTGGGACTTTGCCCTCCCTCTGGATGATTGACTGACGGATGGATGAATTGGTTTCATATGCCAGTGTAATTACTTAGACTCTTAGCATTTAGGCACGGAATTAAGTCAACTCTGCTAAATAATTCTCTAAGCCTATGGATATTTCCTCTCTAGTGTCTGGGGGAATGATATTTGAGTAACATGGCCCATCATGCTGGACATTGGAGAAGGGGATCTATGAAGGCTTTCTTACCATCCACACCAATTTTGCCATCTCCATCGGTGTCACCTGCTTTCAGAAACTCTGAAGTCTCCTTATCAGTCAAGACTCTGGCTTTGCCATCAAAATTCTGCATGAACTTCCTAATGGTCACATAATAGCATTAGAACTTATATGCCGCTTCACAGTGCTTTACAACCCTCTCTAAGCGATTTACAGAGTCAGCCTATGGCCCCCAACAACCTGGGTCCCCATTTTACCCACCTTGGAAAGATGGAAGTCTGAGTCAGTGGCAATAGCAATAGCACTTAGACTTATATGCCGCTTCACAGTGCTTTACAGCCCTCTCTGAGCAGTTTACAGAGTCAGCCTCTTGCCCCCAACAATCTGGGTCTTCATTATACTGACCTCAGAAGGATGGAAGGCTGAGTCAATGGCAATAGCAATCGCACTTAGACTTATATGCCGCTTCACAGTGTTTTAAAGCCTTCTCTAAGTGGTTTACAGAGTCACCATATTGTCCCCCAACAATCTGGGTCCTCATTTTATCGACCTCGGAAGGACGGAAGGCTGAGTCAATGGCAATAACAATAGCACTTAGACTTATATACCGCTTCACAGTGCTTTACAGCCCTCTCTAAGTGATTTACAGAGTCAGCCTCTTGCCCCCCAACAATCTGGGTCCCCCTTTTCCCAACCTCAAAAGGATGGAAGGCTGAGTCGGTCAAGATTGAACTGCTGACAGTCGGCAGAATTAGCCTGCAACACTGTGTTTTAACTATTGTGCCTCCATGCAATTAGATTAGGGCCAGGTTGATGAGTTCAAGAGAAATGTTGGATTATTCCCACTTGAGCGAGGAGGCAGTGAATGTTATGGGTCCCCTCTAATTAAATGGGCGGGGAGTCATCTAACTCCCAGCATCTCTGCTAACGCTCACGGACGGAAGTGCCGATTTTTGGATATTATACAGGTCATCCTTGACTTAGGATCGCAACTGCGCCCAACATTTCTGTTGTTAAGCGTGGGAGTTATTAAGGGAGTTTTGTCCCATTTTACAACCTTTCTTGACACAGTTGTTAAGTGGATCACTGCTGTTAAATATGTAACATGGTTTGTTCAGTCAACCGGGCTTCCCCACTGATTGGTCAGGTTGCAAAAGGGGATCACATGTCTGCAGGACACTGCAACTGTCATAAGTACATGCCAGTGGCCAAGCTCGAATTTTGATCAGGTGACCCCGGGGATGACGTAACGGCTGTCAGTGTGACAAACAGTCATAACTTGGAACGGTCAAGTCAAGGACGACCTCTATTGCCAAAGCAGAGACTTACACATAACTTCCCACTAATTGGAGCTAGAGAGCAATTTTTCCACTCATGGAGAGCAGAATACAGATAAACCTCGATTTACAATGAGGATTTAACACGGAATTATGGCCGTAAATTGGCTCATCACAAGACAGGCCCAATTTTACATTTCTTTCTGGTGGTCATTAAGCAAACGCCGCTAAGTGAACCCATTATTTGCCCTGGGCATTTGGGGGAGGGGGGCAGAAAAGAGATGTACAAGCTAACACCTAGTAAATAATAGTATAACTGCAGGATGCTGCGAACAGCTATAAAAGTGGGGCCCAAAATGTGGCCATCTGACTATGGGAGGAACATCACACATTCGAATCTGGATTTTTAGTCTCTTTTGGGGGGGGGGGAGGTCCATCATAATGTCCATCGCTAAGCGGCCATCTGCTCAGCGAGGATGGGCTGTGCCAAGGATTGATCATTACGCTTTTGTATTGGGAAATGTTCCCTCAGGACCCTCATCTGGGATCGAGGGATATTTCTTAACTTTGACTCACTTCAGTTCATCTTCCTCAATGTAACCACTCTTGTCCTGATCAATAACTCCAAATACTTTTGCTAGCTGATCCTTCGATTTGGAGTGCAAACCGGATTTGGCAAAGAATGTCTTGCAGCTGAAGGAATCGACAGCTGTAGAAACACGGAAACAGAAAGAGGAGGAGGAGGAGGAAAAGAAGACAAAATGTCACAAGGTAAAGAGAGAGAACATTGAACAGAAAAGAATGACAGGGTGGGAAGGGACACCAGAGACCCTATGCCATTTTAGACAAGTCTTTTTGAAAGCCCCCAGTGATGGAGCACCCACAACTTCTGGAGGGAAGCGGTTCCACTGATTAATTGTTCTCACTGTCAGGATGTTTCTCCTTAATTCTAGGTTGCTTCTCTCCTTGATTAGTTTCCATCCATTGTTTCTTGTCCTCCCCTTTCAGGTGCTTTGGAGAATAGCTTGACTCCCTCTTCTTTGTGGAAGCCCCTCAGATATTGGAACACTGCTATCGTGTGTCCCCCCCCCCCCCGTCCTTCTCTTCGTTAAACTAGACAGACCCAATTCCAGCAGCCGTTCCTTGTATGTTTTAGCCTCCAGTCCCCTAATCATCCTTGTTGCTCTTCTCTACACTCTTTCCAGAGTCTCAACATCTTTTTTACATCGTGGTGACCAAAACTGGATGCCGTATTCCAGGTGTGGCCGTATGAAGGCTTTGCAAAGTTTTAGCATCCCTTGCCTCCTAGAGGTAAACTGAGGAGAAACTTCCTGACAGTTAGAACAATTAACCAGTGGAACAACCTGCCTCCAGAAGCTGTGAATGCTCCAACACTGGAAGTTTTTAAGAAGAGACTGGACAGCCATTTGTCTCAAATGGTATAGGGTTTCCTGCCTGAGCAGGGGGTTGGACTAGATGACTTACAAGGTCCCTTCCAACTTTATAATGATGATGATGATGGTGATGATAATGATGACCAGAATTTCCATTGCTAAGCAAGGAAGTTGTTATATGAGTCATGTCCAATTTTACCACCATTTTTGCTATAGTTGTTAAGTGAATCCAGCGGTTCCTATTGACTTAGTTCGTCGGAAGCCAGCTGGGAAGATCAGAAATGGTGATCAGGTGATCCTGGGATGCTGCAACTGTCCTATATACAAGCTGGTTGCCAAGCGCCTGAATTTTGATATGACTTTTCTGTGCTGGTTGTGTAAGTGCAAAGACTGGTCCTAAATCACGTTTTTGATTGCCGTTGTAACTCCAAATGGTCGCTAAACAAGTGACTGTAAGTTGAGGACCTCCTGTCAATCCAGCATCACTTTTTGCTGTCCCAATCGTGTCCGTTGGGGTGAAGGAGCCATTTGAGGCACTGACCTTGATTGACTTTATTCTTGGACACTAAAAAAGGTTTAGGGGCAGATTAAATATCAGCCACCCAAAAAAAGCAGAGCAAATAGGAGCCGACTTTAAATCTAGATGGGCACTGAACCGCTTGGACCTTGGTGGTGGGAACAGTTCTGACTCAAATTCTCTCCAGCTATGTTCTGGCATCAATCCCGCTGATGCTGGTGGGTTTCAAGCAGCCAGGAATGTCCTGTTTCAGATTCAAAATTCCTCGTTTTTCAAAACTCAGATGGACAAGTTTAATGAATCACGTCATGCAGCCAATATTTCCTGCACAAATTTTGTAGGGATTTAGAATTTCCTTGTGTTTGCTCTATCTTTTTCTAACGGAAATTGGGACATTAGCGTCTTCCATGGTATTCCCAAACAAGGATGGCATTGTATTTCGTTTCCTCCCTCCCTCTTTCCCCTTCCTTCCTTCCTTCCTCCCTCTCTTCCTCTCTCCCTCCCTTCCTTCTTTCCTTCCTTCTTTCCTTCCTTCCCTCTCTCCCTCCCTCCCTCCCTCCTTTCCTGTTTCTCCTTCCTTCTTTCCTTCTTTCCTTCCTTCCTTCCTTTAGCTCTCCCTTCCTCTCTCCTTCCTTCCTTCCTTCCTTCCTTCCTTCCTTCCTTCCTTCCTTCCTTCCTTCCTTCCTTCCTTCCTTCCTTCCTTCCTTCCTTCCTTCCTTCCTTCCTTCTATCCCCCCAGCACTGGGAAGTATGGAAGTTAACATCCAATATATCGGAAAGGCATTAGCTTAGGCGATGCTCAGACAGAGAGGACCTGGGAATCTTCAGAAACCCATCTCTGCTCCAGGATACCCATCCCTCATCCCTGGAGGGTTTCCTTCAGATGTTTCGGTCTCCTGAAGCTACTCCTGGAAGTATAAAGCCTAGAGCAGCACCCTCTCCAGAAGTGAAAGACGGACAATCCTGCCATCCCCAGACAGCATCTTTGTGACATCGCTCACTTGGGAGAAGAATGTGTCAAACACTAGAGCCTTCCAGCCTCTGAGCTCTGCAGCTTTAGGTGGCATGTAAAGAACACGGTTCCTTAAGAAGCTGCTGAGTTAAAAGCTTCAGTCAAACCGCTTAGCTTTGCCGTCAACGTGCCGTTCTTACAACAACTACTAACTTCATTGCTGCAGCCCGTTCTAACTGACCCTCCAGAGCTAGTTCGGTTCCATTTTCCGTACAGGAAAACATAATCTCTCTCTTGTCCGAATTATACAAGGGCTTTGCACGTCCGTATTTAGAGGCAGGAAGGAATGTCTGGGGTCACATTTCAATATTAGGCAGAGTTCATAAGTGGGCGGGTGGGTGTCTAAACCCCTCGAAAAGTCTTTCACCCGCTGTGCCAAATCAGACCATCATTTGATTCTGGGATCTTAAAGGAACTTTGTGAAGCTTCTAATCTAGGCTGATCCCTATTTTTAAAAGAACTTTGTGCTATATCTGCTTCTCAGATAGTTGAACCCCACTATTTTTTGGGTGCTAATTTGTAATTTTGACAGCATAAAAAAGTCAGAAGGGTTTTTTTTTTCCCAGCTTCATTACAGGGGGGAGGGTTTCTGTTGTTTTCACCCAGGGCGCTGATGCAACAGTATTCCTCTGAACAGCCCAGCTGCAGCTGCATGCAATGCTCCAGATGTTTTGACTGGCAATTCTCCCTGCCCCATCAGCCCTGCTGGCTGGGGACAATGGCAACTGTAGTCCAGCATAGAACAGTTGATGGGGAATTGCTGAAATTGAACTGTCCTAAACATCACGATCAAGAGATCAAGGGCAGAAAAATCTAGGATTCTCTGTCCAAGGTCAGAAAATAACTTTGAAAAGATTTTTGAACAGGTTTTTAGTGGCGTAAATCTGCACTTCCTTTTTGCAATTTGAATGAAGACTCGTGTTAACACTAAAAAGAGGTGCGCCTGGTGGAATACGTCAAATTTAAGAACCGCCATTTTCTCCATAAAACATTCAGAACCTTCAGCAAAAATACCCGATGGTTGTTTTTTTTTCTAAAACCATCACAAGACATTTGAGGATTTTTTGGGAGGGGTGAGGTCAGGATGAAAGCTGGGAATTTTTTGATCTCTCCTGTTGAGTATTTAAATCAGTCACATTTTTCAATTCACAAGCTTATTGAAGAAGACTAGATTATATAAGCGTGTATAGAAATTACCTTGGCAGCTTTGTAAACCAGCTGCAATTTCGGCATCACTCAGTATCCCGGCAAATGCCATTTCAGAGCTGGAAGGAGGTAAAAGGAGCAGATATTAAATTGTGCTTTTTAACATTTTCACATGAGATCTGCAAGAGTTGGGAATCTTCACAAGGAAGACACTTGCAGGATCAAGAAAGAGAATTTGCAGCATCTCAATGCATATCTATAAGCAGAGTGCAGATTAGGAAGAAGGTAGATTAGGACCCAAAGCACCCAAAACTAGCAAATAGATCATTTTTCATGAAATCCTCCTGTTTCTCTCTCTCTTTCTGTCTATCCTTCATCACTATTCCTCTCTCTCTCCTCTCCCTCCCTTTCTTTCTCTCTCTCTCAATTTAATTCTATTTCTCTATCTCTATTTTGCTTTAGTTCTGTCGCTTTCTTTCTTTTTCTTTCTTTCTTTCTCAATCTCTTTATTGCTTGCTTGCTTTGCTTTCTTTCTCTTTCTCTTTCTCTCTTCATTTCTCTTTCTCTTTATGTTTTATTTCTTTCTTTCTCTTTCTCTCTTTCTCTCTTTATTTTTCTTTACTCTCTGTCTATTTCTCTTTATTTCTCTCTATCTCTTTATTTCTCTCCTTATTTCTCTCTCTCTCTCTCTCTCTCTCTCTCTCTCTCCCACTGAGATAATCAAAGGAAGTTTCCACGTCAAATTCCCAGTTTGTGCAATCTCAGGATCTTTGGCCTGGCCAAAAACAAAACCCAAAAAAAACCAAAAAAAAAAAAAAAAAAAAAACCAAGATAAAGCACAACTGTTGGCTTGCTGGCATTGAGACGCCAAATTCCTCCCAGGCGTGCTTCTTGAGATCCTAAGGCTTGCTGTAGAGTGGAAGAAGAACACCAAGAAGCAATAATATTTGGCTAGGCTCAACTCACCTTGTGGCTGTTTTTCAAAGCAGGGAGAAGAGGCAAGACAATGATCTAAGAAGATCCCTTCTCTTACAGCCTTTGCTGGAACGCAGCCCCCGTCTTATATAGGCTTGAGTTAAGACCCTTCGGCCTTTTACAGAAGCCTCAGGCTACGTCATTGCTCAAATGACCGAGGAGTTGAGACACTGTATCTGACAAGACCTGCTAGCTAATCAAATTGATATTTATATCTCACAGGAATGTACATTTGGCCTTAGACAATCTAAGAAGTTTTCAAGTTACAACATTTCCCTCCTATTTGCAGATTCTTAGTGAACACTGGAGTAAAAATAGAGGTTTTTCAAAGCTGTGGTATGCTTCTATATAGAAGCCCAGAAAAACAACCCATACATATTTTGGGGGACAATTTTTCCCCCCTTGTGTTGGGACACAGTTCAATACTGGTTTGTCCAGGTGTCCTTGACTTACAACAGTTCATTGTTCAAAGTTGCAACGGCACTAAAAAAAAAAAAAAAAAAGTGACACACAAATGCCCCCAAGTTGCAGACTTAATCTGTCTGCTTCGTAAACAACAATCAGTCTGTCATTCTCCAATTACGAATGAGGTCGCTCTTGATGGTGAAGAATGAGGATGATTGTAGAAACAGAGGCACAGAATCAAAATCACGTGAAGTATTAGTAGCTCTTTATAAAGCCTTCGTAAGGCTACACCTGGAATACTGCAACCAGTTTTGGTCACCACATGACAAAATAAATAAATAAATGTTGAGACCTTGGAAAAAGTGCACACAAAAGAGCAACTAAGACGATTAAAGCCCTGGAGACTAAAAGATACGAAGAATGGTGGGCACTATTGAACTTTGAAGTTATATTTGCACAAGCTGCAAAACTGGATCAGGTATAAAGTTATTTAGGTGTGAAAAACGTTGCCTGGTTTTTGAACCAGCGTCCTTGATTAATGGGTGAGTTATTTTGTCTGGACAAACTTCAAACATGGATTAATTAAGAAACCTGTTTATGCGGGTTGGCAGAAGAGAGTCAACCAATAAGTGCCATAAACCCCCCGCCCCCCCAAAAACAGGAATATCCATCCCCTTGTTCCACGTTGCAGCTCTCCAAAGCTCCACCAGAGGGCAGTACATCTGCTGAAGGATTCCATCCCAGCTCACCTGAGATCAAGAATACCCCCCCCCCCCATCTCCACGCTCCAAAAAATTTGGTTTTGAACTAAACCATCCTGCAAACAAACAGACAGACAGAGCCCCTTGAACGAATTTATTTCCAACTTTCAGTTGAGTCGGAAAGAAGGCAAGGACTGGCATCCAAGTTGGATGGTGCTCATTTGAAGGGGGGGAGTGAGGGGGGGGAAAGAATGCAAATCAAAATATAATAAATCTCAGCGATCCATTTAGAGGTGAGTCAAGATCTGAGATCCTTAAATTAGTTGGATCTTGGGGGAAAGTTGAAGAGAAGGGCAACTAAGATGATTAAAGGCCTGGAGACTAAAACGTATGAAGAACCATTGCAGGAACTGGGTATGGCCAGTCTAAAGAAAAGAAGGATTAAGGGAGACATGTTAGCAGTATTCTAGTATTTGAAGGCTTGCCACAACGAAGAGGGGGTCAACTTATTTTCCAAAGCACCAGAAGGCAGGACAAGAAGCAACGGATGGAAACTAATCAAGGAGAGAAGCAAGCTAGAACTAAGGAGAAATTTCCTAACACTGAGAACAATTAATCAGTGGAACGACTTGCCTCCAGAAGTTGTGAATGATCCAACACTGGAGGTTTTTAAGAAGAGACTGGACAACCATTTGTCTGAAATGGTATCGGGTCTCCTGCTTGAGCAGGGGGCTGGACTAGAAGACCTCCAAGGTCCCTTCCAGCTCTATTGTGATTCTGGAAAAGACTACCATGACTAGGGTGATGGCATTATCTGATTTGCTTCATGGAAGCCATTTGGGTTAGAATGAACCTGTGTCCAAATCTCTTATACACTCTCTAATCCTAAAAAGCTGTCTATTGCTGATCTTCCTCTGGATTTCACCAAGGCTTCTCCTCTTTGGAGATGCTAGGAGTGAAATTTCAGATGCTCCACCACTCTTCCACGGCTCTCTGCTCCTTCCAAAGATGGTGGCCATCAGGCAAACCTGGAACTCTGCAACGGCTCCCTCTGCCCCTGGCTGTTGTCAACCAGGTTTCCGTGGGCAGCCTAGATCCATAAGTTAAGAAGAATGCTTGGCACTTGGACAATTTAGACCCCATGAATGTGATGAATTCGAGTCTGAATACTTTGTCTCTGCTGTCTCGTGGCTGCGTCTCCATTTGCAGCTTCTCCTGGCAAGGAGGAGAAGGGGGCACACGTTGGAGAGCTGGAGACGCATCAGAAATATGTCACTCGGAGAAGGAACTCCCTGTACGAGATCTCACTGGCCTGGAGATCAGCCCATGACTGAACTACAAACTCCTTTACACCCAGCAGCTGAATCTGCTTGTCACTTCCAGACAGAAGGAACTGGCAATGGGAGAAGCAGAAGGACCTCTGCTAAGCCAAGAAGCCAAGGGAGAGGCAGAAGAACCAGGGTCTTCCATGTTCATGAGCTAGGAACAAAACCAAGACTGTGACAGATCTATGGAGATCTATGAATGTCTAAGTCAGGGGTCTTCAAACTTGGCCCTATAATGACTTGTGGACTTCAACTCCCAGAATTCCTCAGCCAGCATGCGCTGGCTGAGGAATTCTGGGAGTTGAAGTCCACAAGTCATAAAAGGGCCAGGTTTGAAGGCCCTGGTCTGTGGCGATTCTCCATCATCCAGGTCCTGGTTGTCTCCCAGGTGCTCTATCCAAAACGCAACCATCATAAATACACGTCAGTTGCCAAGTGTCCCAATTCTGATCACGTGACCATGGGGATGCTTCCACGGTCACGTGAAAAACAGTCGTAAGTCACAGTTTTCAAGACTGCTGTGGCTTTGAGCGGTCACTAAACGGAAGGCTGTAAACAGAGGGCTACCTGTATATTGGAGCTGTTGGATAATTTGCATGGGAGGACCAAGCACGAATTCAAATATATCTCTGGCAGGGGATGCCCCAGAAATTCTCAAATGACACAGCTGGGCAAGCATTGTGGAAGCAGCATATCTGCCAAATTATAAAAAGGCCGTGGAGAATTCGCCGGGAGCAATTAGGGCAGTGGATCTAATCAAAACCTTCTAAAACGACATGGGGGAAGTGGATGCTGCCTTTATTCCTTGATCCAACACATAGTGGTACACAGCGTTGCTCATGGGGGTTAATTTAACAAAATAATAGAATTGGAAGGGACCTTAGAGGTCTTCTAGTCCAACCCCCACTCCTCAGATAGCAAAACCTATGCAAATGGCTGCCCAGTCTCCTCTTAAAACCTCCAGTGATGAAGCACCCACAACTTCTGGAGGCAAATTGTTCCACTGGTTAATTGTTCTCACTGTTAGGAAACCTTAGTTCTAGGTTGCTTCTCTCCTTGATTAGTTTTCATGCGTTGTTTCTTGTCCTGCCTTCAGGAGCTTTGGCGAAGAGGCTGACCCCCTCCTCTTCTTTGTGGCAACCCCTCAAATATTGGAAGACGGCTATTATGTCACCCGTGGTCCTTCTTTTCCTTAAATTTCATTCAGTCCTGCTGAAGCCCACAGCCTGCTTTCTCTTCGGCTGGACCTCACCCCCTTTTAGGGCTGACAGAGTCCTGCAGGAATCCCAAAGTTTATTTATCATAGCTGCAAGGAGCAGTCCTCCTGATAAAATTAACCCAAAGTGCACACCTACATCTGTAAATAAAGCATAGCCATTGGGATTTGCATCCTAGATAAGATTTGGGACTTTTTTTGGGGGGGGCAAGGAAAGTAAATGACTGCATCGTTGCAGAGGGACAGGTAGCACCCATAATTTTAACACGGGGGGGGGGGAACCAAGGCGAGACTGAAAGCTTGGTGGTGGCAATAATTCGGCAACAAGCCTGTTTGCCAAGGCATTCGGGGAGAAAGCTCCAGAGAGCTACTTCTCTTGAGTTCATAGCCTTACATCTGACATGGGGCTTAGCTTCAGTTTTGGCTGTAATCGAGCTGCCCTCCGCATTACGTGATCGGCTTGAGATTCAGTGCTCTGCTCGCAAGGAAAGTTATATCAATGTCCCAAGATACTTTGATGGGGCAGTTCTTTTCGAAAAAAAGAGAAAGAAAGAAAGAAAGAAAGAAAGAAGGAAGGAAAGGAAGGAAGGAAGGAAGGAAGGAAGGAAGGAAGGAAGGAAGGAAGGAAAAGGAAGATAAAAGGAGGTGGAAGAAAGGAAGTAAGTAAGGAAGGAAGGAAGGAGAGAACAAAGGAAAGAAGATAAAAAGGAGAGAGGAAGGTGAGGGAAGGAACGAAGGAAGGAAGGGAGGGAGGAAGAAGAGAAAGAGAAGGAAGATAAAAAGGAGGGTGGAAAGAAGAGGAAGAAGTAAGGATGTAAGTAATTAAGGAAGGAAGGAAGAAAAGAAGGAAAGAGAATGAAAGGATAAAAAGAGGGAGGATGGAAGGAAGGAGGAGGAAGGAAGGAAGGAAGGAAGGAAGGGAGGGAGGGAGGGAGGGAGAGAGGGGCAATCAGACCAAATATAACCTCTACACACCTGTCTCTCCTGTTGCCACATTCACAGAGCTTGTAAAGATGACTGCAGATGCACACCTGCCACCAAATCCTGGCAAACAGGGATCTGGTCCCCATGATGTTTCTCCCGCAGTTGGAAAGTTGGCCCGGCTTCTTTCCCGTGAGCTCTTCTTGATAACCATGGCAAGTGAGCCCATCCAATGGGCAGAACCAGTTACCTATCAACCAGGAAAGCTGCAGCTGATCAGTTTTGCAAGGCGAAATTGGGGAGGATCCCTCTTAAATCAACATTTAGGCACACAGCCAGTTCTCTTTCAAAGTCAACTTGTATGATTAAGGTCCTGGTTTAGGAAAGATGTTATTTTTGGGTACAAATGAAGAAGTTAGTCATTGTATGATGTTCAGGGTAGCAAGACGGTTCTCATACTTGATTTATGCCTAGAAACCGTGAGAAAGAACTTTTTCTGACTGTACCAATCAGAGCA